CATTTCAATACACAGCTTTGTTCAGCTTGCTAAGGATGGAATTAAGATCAGACCGTTATCAACAATTCCTTTCCAAAGTTCTTTTTTTCTGCCAGGTGCAGTGAGTGAGTCATGCCTGTAATCCCAGCACTTTGGGAGGCTGAGGCAGGTGGATCACTTGAGGCCAGAAATTTGAGACCAGCCTGGCCAACGTGACAAAAACCTGCCTCTACTAAAAAATACAAAAAATAGCCAGGTATGGTGGCACACGCCTGTAATCTCAACTACTCGGGTGGCTAAGGCATGAGAATCAATTGAACCCGGAGGTAAAGGTTCCGGTGAGCCAAGATTGCACCTCTGCACTGAAGCCTGGGCGACAGAGCAAGATTCTGTCTCAAAAATAAATTTAAAAGTTGTTTCAATTTTCATTTCCTTTAATGTGAGCAAGCATAAGTATCTTTCCTTTTCCTATGTTTAAAAGCAATATTTTCTATTCCTTTTCTCTGAACTATCTGTTCATACCTGTGACCTATCTGTTTAAAAAATTTAAACAGTTTTGAAACATTATATTTGTACAAAAGGTACATGTGCAATTTTGTTACATGCATAGAATGTGTAATGGTAAAGTCAGAGTATTTAGGATACCTGATCACCCAAGTATTTATCATTTCTATGTGTTGGGTACATTTCAGGTCTCCTCGCTATTTTGAAAAATAACACAATACATTGTTGTTAAATAGCAGTAAAGACATCCAGTTAAACATAGTGGATTGATAACATATATTTGTTTTTTTCTCCCTCATACCCCGCCTATGTGACAATAAGGAAGACAAAATGTCTTAACCCAGAACATTAATAGCAAAGAAAAGGAGATATTAGTGGCCCAGGGATTTCAGCAAGTTTTTGGAAAATAGAGGCAGAAGGGGAAGTAGTAACTGACTTAACAGGGGGAGGAAGTTATGACCCAAATGTCTGCAGGGAGTATTGTTTTGATAACCAAAAGACGAGCCCAGATTCCTCCATAGGAGAGACAGACACTAAAAATAAAGATATGGATGGAAATCTCCCACAGAGTAGAACAAAAAAGACAAAAAGAGGGAAAATAGCGAAAAACAGAAAATTAGGAGCTCAGTTTCAAAGGTACAACTCTTGACTAGGAGAAATTCCAGAAAGCAAAAAAAAAAAAAAAAAAAAAAAAAAACACACAAAAAAAAAAAAAAACAAAAAAAAAAAAAAAAAAATGGAGGGGAGATCCAAGTGTGGTGACTCAGTCCTGTAATCCCAACACTTTGGGAGGTCAAAGCAGGGGGATTGCTTGAGCCCAGAAGTTTGAGAACAGCTGGGCAACACAGTGAGATCCCATTTCTACAAAAGATAGAAAAATGACTCAGGCATGGTGGTATGCACCTGAGGTGCCAGGATCACTTGAGTCTGGGAGGTTGAGGCTGCAGTAAGCCATGACCATGCCACTGCATTCCAGCCTGTGCAAAATAGCGAGACACTGTCTCAGGGGGAAAAAAAAATAGAAGAGAAGAAAATTATCACAGAAATAATGTAAGAAAATTTCCTAGGTTAGAGGGATGTAAGTCTCCAGACTGAAAAGGCCCAGCTAACACAAGTAAGGAAAAGCCTCACTGAGGGGAATCATCATCAAATACATTATGGATAAAGATGATCGCCTAGCTAGGCATTCTGGCTCATACCTGTAATCCCAGCAATTTGGGAGGCTGAGGTGGGTGGATCGCCTGGGTCAGGAGTTTGAGACCAGCCTGACCAACATGGAGAAACCCCATCCGTACTAAAAACACAAAATTAGCTGGGCGACATAGTGCATGCCTGTAATCCCAGCTACTCTGGAGGCTGAGGCAGGAGAATCATGTGAACCCAGAAGGCGGAGGTTGCAGTGAGCCGAGATCGTGCCACTGTACTCCAGCCTGGGCAACA